GTTCGATCTTCGTGCTACACTCACAAATCCACAGATCAACACCCAACAGTTTAATTTCACCCAAAAACTTTCATTTCATATCGCAGAATCAAAATCCCAGAACGAGCTAAAACCCATCACGAAACCCTAAGCAACAATCACAATCCTATTCCAAATCAAAGGCTCGGATCTTCAGTTCGTGATACAGTACACTAACCAAAATTCTCCGATCTAACTAAAAGATCAAACACATAAACAAATGTTCCTAAGGCAGATCTAACGAAGCATAAACTATGAGAATTTCAAAGAAGAAGAATATATTACCTTTGCCCTCATCTTTACGCTGTAGCTCCAAGTTAGTGAAATTCTCATAGAATGTCTACTCAATTAATATATAAAATATTATAGAGCGTGATGAATTTTCGTCCATATATATGCAAACAAAAACCTTCAAAATACATTTAAAAGTAACATCAACTTTATGCTATAGACGTAGTTAATTAAGTCTGTAACACAAGACCAGACTCTTCAAGTATCAAAAAAGCAAATCTGTTACAAATCCTACACAACAGTTCTCTAGATAACAAAGAAGATAGATAGCAAAAGGCTCGCGATGATCATTAATCTCTCCTCATCGATACGTGTTTTTTATCCGCCGTGCAAGGTCGAAATGAAAACAACAACATCTTTTTCTTCGATTGTTGTATCGAGCTGACCGCTTAGCTCCCAATCACAATCATTCACTAGCACAAGAACTCCAGGTCTCCTACACAACAATTGATTTCTCTCTAATTAATAACCCTTTAACCTATCATTCAGCTTTTGATAAAGAAAGACAAAATAGACTTACACAGTATCTCCTTTTATGAACATTTCAGGTCTCTCTTTGATTAGATTTGTACGAACCCAAGAAAGCAAATGCTTCATATTTAACTAAACCAGCAAACAAGAAACGAGTGAGCAGAGAAAACTGTGAGCTTTATATAATCCTTATGAACCAAAAAGCTTGAAGAAATCAAGCTTACATTATCTGCACCATCAGGCAAATCGACATTTACTTTATGGATCTTTACAGATTCACAAAGCAGCTCTAAACCACCCCTGCAAATCAAAATGAAAGCTTTTACAATTTTAAAATCAATCAGTGAAACATATACTCAATCATTCAAATTCTTCAATTTCATAATCACATAGAAGCAATCACAGTAAATATCTCAAAAAACACTAAATCACCAGAATTTAAGATGATCCGATAACTAAATGAAAAGTCCAAAACTTGTGAAGCTTTAAAGCCAAAATCAAAACTAAATCGAAGCAAAAACGTTAAAATGCAAATTACTAACATAGAGAATCATTGAACAAAAAAGCATCAACCAGATTTTCTTTGAACTTTCCAAACTAATCAAAAATGCATAACTCGCCGAAAATTCGAAAGACATAAATCAGAAGAAATTAGATTAAAAGATACAAAAATCGCACCCGAATTCAAGAGTCAATTGCATCGTCGTTGATGATTCTTCTAGGGTTTTCGTCTTTCAGCTTCGTCGTCACTGCGCAAGAAAACAAAAAAAAGTAGAATCAGCCGCTAATCACCATAAACGACGTCGTTTCTGATTCAATACATGTTGGGCTCTTTAATTGGACCTTAAGAACAAACAAGATAAGGCCTATAACTTCACTAACCAAAATTCTCCGATCTAACTAAAAGATCAAACACATAAACAAATGTTCCTAAGGCAGATCTATAACGAAGCATAAGCTATGAAAATTACAAAGAAGAAAAAAATATTACCTTTGCCCTCGTCTTTTCGCTGTAGCTCGAATCTGAGAAACGAAGGGAACGTTAAATATATATACACACAAATTGTAGAAAACCCTAAACCTTAATGGAAAATAAACTATCCAGTCAGGGGTATTTCCGTCATTTTACAAACAAGACTCTTTTTGCCCCTTAAATACCTTACAAATCCAACGTTTCAACCTCGCCGGAATAATGGAGCAGGTATCGGAATCAAACCGCCGCGATGAACCCTATGCGACTAGCTCATCGTCGACCACCGTAGAAGGCGGTGTCTCCGGCGGTGGAGAAGCTTTAGCTCGAGGCTTATCGGCTATGCTCGAGTCCGTGATTAAGGACTTCGACTCTAAAGTCAGTGATACGCTCAATAGCCAAAACCAACTCTCCAGTTCGCTCGATCGCTTAGTCCAAGGTAAACTATAAAATCGATCGATTTCGTTATCTTCTTCTCCGATTTGTTTGTTAATTTTCGTTGAAATTAGAATGTTTATAGATCAATTCAATCCAAATTGAGTTTTTTATATAGCCATGATTTTGCCCTTTGCTCTGATCTGACACAGTGGTTGCTAATTGATCTCGAAACTGTTTAAATTTTGAATTGATCAGGTTAGATTTTTAACCTTTTTTGGTTGTTTGAATGTATGTGATGTAAACAAAGGTAAACAAACACTTTGGTTAGTGGAAACATTGTGAAGTTAAACATCATCAATACATTATCTCACTCTCTACTGTTTGTAATGATTGTGACACAGAGAAAACAACCTCGGAAACTTCATGAAGACCAAAACATAAACCACTCTTTTGGGAGCAAAGAGAGTCAAAGGCACGTACTAGACGACACCGTTTGGTCTTATTTTGGGCCTTCTACTGGGCTTCTTATCTAAACTGGTTCGTTTTAGTTTGGAGTGCCC